TTCACAGAGAAATGGCTTAATGCCCGATGGTTCTGCCATATTTTTGTTTAGTCTAAAAAAACAGATTGCTTATAATCATGTTCTTATTTCAAGCTGTAGTATTATTTTTTTTCCGTTATTTACTATTTATCCCTTCGACTAGAAAGATTCATACCGTAAGTGGTATTATACACATACACACATAAAAATTTAAAAAAAATAAATTTATATGTAATTGTTTCGATATTTACATTACTTACTATATTATTATATTTCGATATCACCTTGTATAATACAATTTAATGTACAAATGCAACACCTTGTATATTACGATTAAATGTACAGTCCTGTCAGGCTAAGTGCTCATTCATAATGGACGTAACCATAAGATTACCGTAAAACGTAAACATAATTTCACCATAATTTGTACGTAACGATGAGTTGTGTTTATAATGAACGTATGCCTTATGTATATGTTAATAAGGCGCGCATGTCCAAGTTCACTAAAATGGCAGCATTGACAGTTTTCGTCTAATTATTATAAATATAATTATAATTATAAATATAAATTAAGTTAAAACTATAAGTGTTATCATAACCTTAGTGTAATGAGTTAAAAGTTTTAAGACATAATAATTATAATTATAAATATAAATTAAGTTAAAACTATCAGTGTTATCATAACCTCAGTGTAATGAGCGATATATAGGTTGGCAAAGAAAAGAAAAAAGGGCGAATTTCGTCGAATTATACTCGAACTAAAACTTTAGGATAAGGAATGGTTCTTTAGATTGTTTGTTCTGTGGGTACACCAGAATACACTTAAAAAAGATCTGTCATCTGTTTGCATGGCTATAGCCTACCCTGATTGCTACCAATGTTCAAGTGAAATCAAGTGAAATCATGAAATTTACTAAAATTCACACATAAGAAACCCGTAAAGTTGAGATGATTTCAACTTTACGTATTTTTTACGGTCACCCATAAGATCTTATGTTCGAACGTAAAACGTAAAAATTACGGCTATTCATTATAAACAGGCACACTGGTTTTGTTAATATTCAACTTTACGTTTTACGTATTTCTTACGGGCATCTTATGGTTACGTCCATTATGAAGAGTCACTAAGTTGAGCGCTTTGGTGGGGAATCATGTGGCCGTTGATTAAATTAAATATCAAATCGTTGCAAGATTTCGGTAACAAGAAGATGATTTATAAGTGCCGAGGCTTGCCGTTTGTTCGTACAGAGCGGCTACCGAAATACATGTATTTAATTGTGCCTGAACATAGAGATAATTATCTCTCCATTAATGACATTCCTTAGACCGCTCAACTTAGCCTGAACGGACAGTAAAGGCCCTTTTCCGTTTCTCTCTCTCTCTCTGCAATTTAATGCAACACCTCGTTTATCACAATTTAATGTAAAGGCTTTCCTGATGCAATTTAATGCTTCACCTAGTATAATACAATTTAATGTAAAACACTTTTTTTTCTCTGCAATTTAATGCAACACCTTGTATAGCACAATTTAATGTAAAGGCTTTCCTGATGCAATTTAATGCTTTACCTTGTATAATACAATTAAATGTAAAATACTTTTTTCTACTACCTTACTGGAAATAGCTATTTACCTACCATGGGAGGAAAATATTGCATTTCCTCCCGCGAATAGTTTGATGCCCGACGCGAAGCGAAGGGCATTAAATATTCAAGGGAGGAAATGCATTTTCCTCCCGAGGTATGTATATAGTTTTTTCTATTACCTTTTAACGGTTTTTAAGACATTTTAAGCGTTCCGGTTCCTTTTACTAACCCGGTATGAGGCTATAAAATTATGACAAAATATTAAGTAGGTTTTGCGTCGCCGACGTTATGTTGACAACGCTTTGTTGCTATGGTATTTTTGGTAATACCAACATAACAGTTTTTATAAGCTGTCATAATGTTTATCATAAATTTAATAGTTGCAATTAATTTCCTTCCTTAAAAATCTAAAATAGTGAATATGAATATAGTTTGTTAAAAGAATGTTAAAAGAATGGTTGGACAAGCGCGGAGTAAATCTTTTTCCTACAAAATCAAATACAGGTACAAAAACTATTGCCAATATAAAAAAAATTTAAAAAAAAGAAGGAGCATTTTCCTCCCTCGCTCGGGATGGAAAAATAAGTTTTCTAGTAAGGTAGTAGAAAAACTTAATTTTCCACCCCCGAGCGAGGGAGGAAAATGCCACTTTTCCTCCCCGGGAGGAAAATGCCACTTTTCTTCCCCGGGAGGAACAAAATTTCCTCCTTTTTTTTTTAACAATTTTACATTAGCAAGAGTTTTTGTACCTTGTCTAGCCCTATTTGATTTTGTATGAAAAAGATTTACTCCGCGCTTGTCCAACCATTCTTTTAACAAACTATATTCATTTTCATATCGATCTTTCGATTTTTAAGAAAGGAAATTAATTGCAACTATTCTTGCATCTTTAGCAAGATCTTGCAGCAAGTCTTGTTCGCTAGAACTCATTTTCAAAACGTAGGAAGAACTTTTACACCTACTTAATATTTTGTCATAATTTTATAGCCCCATACCCGGTTAGTAAAAGGAACCGGAACGCTTAAAAGGTCTTAAAGGGTCTTAAAACCGTTAAATATTTAATGCCCTTCGCTTCGCGTCGGGCATCAAACTATTCACGGGAGGAAAAGCACTATTTTCCTCCCATTGTATGTAAATAGCTATTTTTCTCTGCAATTTAATGCAACATCTCGTATATCACAATTTAATGTAAAGGCTTTCTTGAAGCAATTTAATGCTTCACCTTGTATATTAAAATTTTATTATAAAACTAGATTAAGGCTACCATTACCACTCTGGTTGTGTAACAATTCTACAGATGAATAATTAGGTATATATAACGATAATAGTAATTAAACAAAAAAATACTTAGATCTAGATAATTAGATCTTATTTGTGCATTTAAGCTTCTAAAATTGACTAGTGTTTTAGATTGATTCATTGACAGAATAACACTTATTAATTAATGTATTTACCTCAGTCGCCAATTGTGGTATCCGAGTAGGGAACACTAAAATACTTGGTTCAGATAGAAGTAGTATATTTAGACAAACAAATATAATCTTTAATACAATTACTACTACATACATATAAACGCACAATAATTCACCAAACTATCTCATCCCAACTAATTATTACAGTTTAATATAAAACATCATTTGGTACTTTATGTAATAACAAAATATATATGAGTCAATTCTATTAACTTAGTCATTCATGCGCTTCCACAATATGAAACCGACTTAAGCCTTTCTTCATAAAAAAATCCATAATTACATTAGTAAACAAATACTATGTATAAATAAATTCTAATAATAATAAACAACGTAATATTTTAGTTTACGTTTAAATATGTTTAATAATTATTATACACAAATCTAGTTGAAACGCTTGAAGGGCTTGGCTTGACTTTTCTTATTAAATTTTAATAATTAAATGCTAGATGGCACTCGAATATCCGTCACTCACATACTTCCACACATATACCCAAAGATAATATACCGCTTATTTGCTATATTTTGTCTAGATGACCTTGTTCCCTTTTTTCAGGGTAAATTTGCTGATTTGCCGTAACATTTTGCCTTATGCGCATAGTCAGTTCATAAGTGGGGGATTCCATAGACATCATAGAACATAAGATAGACAAATTAATACGTCCACGTATTGTTACGAATTGTTATGTAGCCTTACAAAAATGTCTGTAATTTGGCTTTATTAAAAATCAAAAAGTGGCATAATATGCATATTATTTAAAAGCCACTAAAAATATCGTAAAAACAATGAAAAAAAAAACAATGACAAATCAATTGGTAAACAACAGAAAATGAACAAAATGGATAATTATAAAAACCATCTACATATTTATATGTCTATCATAAAAACCTTTTGGCTATCTTTATCAAAATACTATGTTGCCAAATTCTTGCTTTTATAAATATGCCATTATAAAATCTAAAATATCATTTTGTGTTTATTATTGTAAAATCCTTTTTTTCATACAATTTATATATAATTTATTAAAAAGTATTTATTATACTTCCCAAACAGGGACAAAAATATGTTTTTTTCAAACCGACAATGCAGCCCACGCATGCGCCTCAATGCCCGCTCCCGTGTGAGAACACTTCCCCTACTTTAACCCCACGAAATGGAAACAGTCTCAGTTAGAAATGATTGGTATATGTGTGGAAGTATGTGCCGTCACTTTGGACGTAAATTTGTTCTAAACATAAAATAAATCCAGTTTTTGTTTAGAAGATTTTTGAAATCGATTATCCACAAAAATAGCGATAAAGTTGATAATCCTAATCGTTAATTATTATTAATAATTAATTGCAAGCTTGCTGTACATGTCAGACTAGCTTTGCTAGTTGTGTTTTAATAGAGGACGCTCCATGGATCCACAGTAGTGAATTTTGTTGATTTTTAAATTCGATGTTCGATATTTCTCTTGTAACATCGATATAATATCCACAATTACATATTGCGAACATCGATGTAAAAACATAACATACCATACCAAAACATCGATGAATATCGCCCATCTCTAGTAAGAAACAAAACCACCCAAGTGACAAACAATATTTTGCCTGGATGATTTTACCATTAGACATCACTTAGTCTATGTTGCTTTTCATTCCTTTATATGTTATTAATCATTACAAATTTCCAATCAAATACAATCGTAAATTCATATTGGGACTCAATCAGATTCGGTCATAAAAACAGGATTGGAACTCGATCAGATCCGGGTCAAAATCTCGATCAGATTTTTTTAGCTAAGGCTATTTTGACAATTTTCATTTAATTGCCTTGACATTTTAACAAAGCGTAAAATTGATTCCTGTGAATTAGGACCTGAGACTTGATAACCTAAAAAGTAAGGGGCCCTGTCTAATCAGTTGTGTCTAGGTTCTTCAAATGATCCGCCGCTGAGTTGGTTAATTTTTGTTTTTAGTTGATTGCTGCGTCATCCTTGTATTTAGCAGGAAAAGTTAAGGACGACCCTCTAAAAATTCGTGATATTATAAATGTAGCTCATAACACATTGCATAGAGGGAGTAGTCCATTGGAAATTGGAGAAGAATATTGGAATATGAGAGATGCCATAGTTCAAGCAGAATTATTAATAATGAGAGTCTTAAAATTTGAAGTATCTATCTCTCACCCCCATAAGTATATGCTACATTATCTGAAATCCTTGGAAGGGTGGTTGGAAAAAGAACAATGGTATAATCTGCCAATTGCAAAAGTTTCCGCAGCATTTCTCCAAGATTTTCATCATGATCCATCCATATTGGAATATACTCCTCAACATATTGCTATTTGTTGTATTTCATTGGCTCTACAGTTTTATGGAGTTCAGTTGCCTCTTATTGAAGATGGCGATGATGAAAGTTGGTTTACTGTTTTTGTTAAAGACTTGCAAAAAGACCAACACTGGGAAATTATGGAAAAAATCATGGATGTTTATAATGTAGAGCCAGAAACTTCTTGAGTTGCTACTAAGGATTGGTTTGGTGAGAAAAAAATCTTTTTATGACTGACTTTTGTATTACAATTCTATTCCACAAAAAATGTTTCATGTGTATATTTGTATTTTAATTTTTAATAAAGTAAATAATGCTAATAGGTCATAAGTATTTTTTATATTGCAACATCCTTTAAGTCAGCAATTTTATAATATATTTTGGGTTTTGTACAAACCTGTTTGGCCATGATGACATTATTAAAAAGTAAGTATTATATTTGTGTTATTTTTTTTTTAATAGAAAGTTATATTTACACCAATTTCTGTTATATTTCCAAATTACATTTATTATTGGCATAATCCGATTAATAAATTTCAAAATACTAAATCGCAATCCTAGTTTGAACCATAGAAAAAGAATATAAGAAGGGAGACCTCTGTATTAAACTTAAGCAACACGAACGTCATAAACGCCTGCCAATTAAAGCCGTATTCCAAATATTTTATTACTTTTATACTACAGGGCCGGCTTTATCTATTTTGTATATATTAATAATTTAAGGAGTAAAAAGAAAAAGGGTACAAGTGTAAAAAAGAGAATTGGAGTTATTTACTAAAGTTTTTGCTATAAACAAAAATCTGGATGTTTGCGAGGATGAATCATCATTATAGCGATGTCATGTAATGAAACAGAGCAAGAGGATTAGTGATTAGGAGTATGCCGATGTAAACTTCTTCTTCTTTCTAAATTCTGTATTTTTAACCTTAGTGCTTGAACGCTAGTCCATGTGACCATATGCTTGTATATGGGAACTAAGTTCCTGGATGTTGTATCCCAGGATCTCTACACCCCAATATGTCAATTTTCGCAAAAGTTTCTTTAAAAGGCAATGTAGACCGGATAATTTGAAGGAATTGATTTGAGAGGATTAAATTGACAGGTAAGGAAAGCGGAACCGAGCACATCATAAATTCAAATTAAATTCTTTTAAGAATGAAAAAACTAGCCTATACGTATCTAAATGAAATAAAGCAAGCAATGGGATACACGCTAGAGGTGGATGATGCCCCAGGGCTAACAATTTGTTATATAAAATACTACAATTATGAAGGTTATTTTGACAATTAAATAAAATATGGTTAATACTGCCGAATTCTCCGCACATACTGCCGTACTAAGCGCAGAAGCGGTAATTAAAATAATGGCTGTCATGAGATATTGGTACTTTTATGTTAATAGCTCTGCCAACTCAGTTTGGTAACAGATACCGCTAAAAATAACTTGATATTTCAATCATTTACTGACAAAATACCGATTTAATACCTTATTAAAGTAGAGATTTTTAAGCCTAGTTTCATATTACGGGAAAATGTCAATTTCCTTTAAATGTGCAGTTACCGCTTCTGCGCTTAGTACGGCAGCATACACAAAGGATCCTATTTTACACCAATACGGTTCATATGTTCCGGGGTTAGCCAATGCCCAAGCCTGATTCTATTCAATGTTGTTACAAATTTTCTCCCCACAAATTCGGGCAAGTGAACGCACGGAAGCCGCCAATCCCTTCCCGAATTTGCATAGCGTTTGCCTCTGGTACTCTTGAGTTGTTCCAATTATCTCTCCATTTTGAGTATAAATTATCTCTACTCAATTTAACAAAGTCCAACCACGGGATTCTTTAAAATAGATACACAGTCAATTGTGCTCTTTCCACCCCTGAAGCCGAATTGATTATCAGGTAAAAGGTCATTGTTTTCAATCCACCATTAAAATCTGTTTTTAATAATATGTTTAAAGACTTTTTTAATACATGATGTCAATGCTATGGGTCTATAACTATTGTACAAATTTTAATCTTCCATCCGATTCCAGGAGAAGAAAAATCACAATCTCACTCCAATATTTAGGGACAGCCTCTCGTCCACTCAGTAGGTTGTTGAAAAATCTTAGGAGAAAAGAGAAACCCTCTGGAGCCATGTTTTTTAACATATTGTTACACCGGCGCGGTGCAAAGTCCGGCAACGGCGTGCGTGGGAGAGACTTTGACCTTCGACGCGGCGATCGGGCGGGTAGATGAGTGTCAGCTACGAAACGGTGTAGATGTGCAAATATATTTTGTATTCTTGTTGCGAATAAATACATTAAGTTGAAGTGATCTATAATTATAAAACTATTCTATAACAATTCAGAAGTGCGATAGTGCTACGTGCTGTAGTTAGTGGGGTATATTCGGTGTGTTTGGCGAGAAAATTGTGACAAATAAACGGCGTGGGGCGTCAACCATTTTTTTGTAGATAAAACAACCGGTGTTTTTGTTATTAGTTTTCCGTTTGTGACGCGCGCGAGAAAAGCATAACGATGAGTAATTTTATCTATCCGTGGCAATGACGACGTAGATTTGTTAGCCGGTGAATTAAATTTGGTGCCCACTTCTACCCCAAGGCGAGGGCATGAAGAGGCGAGCAGTTCGGTTGGGCTGACTGATGCCCAGGTGGAGAAGGCAGTGGAGGTTTTGTTGGCGAGGGGGCTAACCGACAAGCTGGTAAAAGCAGCCAAGCGGCAGGCGGCTGAGGTGGCTGTCAATTTGAAAGCGAGCTCTCCAGGCGTGGTGAGTTCTTCGAAAGAATCGACGACGGCGATAGGCGAGGGGGTAAGTAAACGGGGTTTTACTATGGCGGCGGAGATGATGGAGCGGTTTGACCCTAAGGAACCTGATTGCGATGTGGTTAGGTGGTTGAATAAAATCGACCAGCTGGGCCATATCCATGGCCGGAGTGGGTACGAGCGTAGCTTTATGTTGCAAACAAAATTAACCGGCGCGGCGAGGGAATGGTTCAGGAGGTTGGAAACATGACTACTCGTGGGACCAGTGGAAGAGTTTATTGGCGGCGGCGTTTCCAAGGAGGCGAGATTTCCATGAAATGCTTGTGGAAATGGTCAACCGGCGGAAATTGGTCTCTAAGACTATGACCACGTATTTCCACAGCAAGCTTGATCTGTGTGGGCGGGTAAATATTACTGGTAAGGCGGCGGTTTCTTGTGTGAGTGCAGGGCTTCCACATGAGCTCAGAGCGGGTGCACTCCGCAACAGTTGTACAACACCTACTTACCAGCAGAATTTAATATCGGCGAAAACGGCGTATAAGTTGGGACTACCAGTTGACCAACTAGGTGGCTAAGTTTGGGAAAGGTCAATTTCGAGATGCGAATTGGCGAGTCTGACTTTCAGCTTACGGCGTTGGAGACGGATGTGGATCTGGGCAGGATTGAGCTCCTGATTGGACAACCGGCACTTCAAATTCCTGGCGTTACGTTGGTTATTCGATCCGGAAAGGCGACGCGTCGCGACGTTGGTAAGAGGCGAAAATGTATGTGACGTTTTTAGGCATTTGAACACGTAGAGGCGCAAAGCGAAGATTTTGAGTGTGGGGCGAGGCGAAACGGCGCAATTGAAGGTGGAGGTGGAAGGCGGCAAGCTCGGCGAGCCCCTTCTGATCGATGACGGGCACAACACTGTGGCAATTCCGGCGACTGTTTGGCGACAAATTGACATGCATGAACCTGAAAACGGCGAAAACTGGCGGCAGGGCGCAGGTTAATACCATTTTGATTAAAATAAATTAAATTAATAATTAAATTAAATTTCTGCTATTAAAATTGGTAATGTGTCAGAGAAATGTAAACGGTGATTACATGAACTCTTACGGAGAAAAGCGAATTGTTTTTCTACTGGCGATGACGATGTAGGGTTGGCTAATCTTGGCAAAATGAAAATTAAATTAACCACTGACGTACCGGTGTATTATAGACCTTACAGGTTAGCATTGGCGGAACGACGATTAGTACAAAATAAGGTGCAAACTGTTTTAGAAACAGGCGTAATTAAAAAAAGCGATTCAGCATATGCAAGCCCTATTGTTTTAATACCTAAGAAAACAGGCGAGGTGAGACTTTGCGTTGATTACAGGGCGTTGAATGCTATAACGGTGAAAGATAGGTATCCATTGCCCTTGATCTCTGATCAATTAGATAAACTGGCGAATAAAAAGTACTTTCGAAAATTTGTTAAGAACAAAAAAAGGGATCAACAATGGGAGTGGGGTGAGATGCAACAAACGGCGTTTGACACTTTGAAAGAAGTTCTTGCAGGGCGACCTATATTGGCGATGTATAACGGTGAGGCGGAAACTGAACTGCATACCGATGCAAGTAAATGGGGGTTAGGCGGCACTTTGATGCAGAGGAGGGGTGAGTGCGATTCTGCCTGGCGACCTTTAGAATATTTTAGCAGAACTACGTCATCTGGCGGCAGTTGAGTCAATTAAAAGATTTAGGGTTTATCTGCTAGGGATACACTTTAAGGTAGTAACTGATTGCGTGGCGGTAAGGTCGACTCTTGTTAAGCGTGATCTTATTCCTCGTATAGCACGGTGGTGGCTGGCGATACAGGAATATGATTTTGAAGTAGAATATCGACCTGGCGGGAGAATGGCACATGTACACGCATTAAGTCGAAATCCTTTTCGGCGATGGACATTCAAGGTTTGCTCGGTGTTTGGCGCTTCTACAAGAAACTTACTGGTTTCCAAAAATGCGGCGATTTGTACTGAAATATGTTAGGTCTTGCTTACAGTGTTCATTTGCGAAAGGTAATTATGGGAGAGGCGAAGGCGTACTGTATCCAATCGAACGGCGAACAATTTCTTTTGATACAGTCCATATAGACCATCTAGGCCCATTCATGAAGAGCTTGCGAGAAAACTCGTACCTTCTCGTATTGGTGAATGGTTTCACAAAGTTTGTTTTAGCTAAGCCAACTAAGACTTTGAGATCAACTGCGGCGATAAATCGACTAGGCGAAATTTTTAGTGAGTTTGGGTATCCGCGGCGAATTATAAACGATAGGGGATTGGCGTTTACTAGTAAAGTATTTGGCGAATTCCTCCTGGCGGATGGAGTGAAACATGTACTTAATGCAATTTCAACACCTAGGGCGAACGGACAGGTGGAGCGCGCGAATCTTACAATCATACAAGCACTAGCTGCTAGTGCTTAGACTGAAAGTAGGTGGGACCAAAGACCCATAGATTGCACTAGCGCTAACGGCAAAAGGGTAAAGTAAATTGACGCCATCTAGGTCTACAATACCTAAGCACAACCA